GGGAACATTGAGCTTATTTTCAGAGTCCCTGAGGTCATAAGCAGAGTCACGCCATGTAAACTTTGAACACAGATACTCTGGAGCTAGCCCCTGCAGACATCTAAACATCATGGTGGCTTTGTGAATTTCCTGCCTTTCCTCCCTCAACCCTTGTACAAGCTTATTGATCCTGAAATAACCTGTTCTTGACCCAGTTTCTGGGGCAAGAGATGAAGGAAGGTTAATTAATTTCAGATAACTTTGCTCTGTTTCCAAGCCAGTTTGTTGGAACCATTCAATATTTCAGATGGGGAGAAAGACACTGCAAGAGCACTTCTTGTCCCAATATCAATTTTGTTTATTATTTGTTATAAAAACATTTTAATTACAATAGTACCAATCAATCTATCAACAATTACTTGATGTTAAAAGATAGAGCCATGAAGCTTAACTGTTATTAATAGTTATTTCAAATTCACAAACCTCTGGAATAAGATGCAAGGCCATGTCTTCCCTCTCAGACTCACTGAGTCCAGATAAAGCACCTTGGAAAACTGTCAAGAATTTCTCCACTAGTTCCACAAAACAAGGCAACCTAGGAGGGAAAAAACAATTAATAAAGAAATATAGAACTAGTGTAATACCATTTTTCATGTCACACTGTACATGGGCACAGTAAAACTGAAGTCAGTGCTTGATTGAACAAAAACAGAAAAAGAAGATAAGTGTGCCAAGTGGAACCAAATGAGTCATAACCTAGTGCTGAAGGAATTTCCAGAAGATCCCAAAATATTGGAAAATGTTTCTTCTTTTACCTCTTCCAACAGTGCTGAATAATATCTTGTCTCTCTTCTCTTGATAGGTCAGACTTGTGTTTGGTAAAAATGTCACAGAGCAAAACAAACTTCAACATTCCTGGTAAGAATAGTATGACAGCGGTAATTTAATGAAACTTCAGTTAATTTTTTTTTACTCCAAACCACCTTTGTGTAATCAACAACTCCAGTCTTAATAGTTCTACAATGGATAGAAGATAAGAAAAGTACTTCTTAGGACATCATTGATAATCATGTTATGTTAGTTAACTGTTTAAACAAATTTCTGATTTATCCACTGGTGGCTTGTCCCCAAATAATCACAGAGGAGTGAGGGTGGCAAAGGGTATATAGATGATGCACAATTAGGCCCAAAATTAATATATAATTATGTGACGCATTAATTTTAACAAAAGGCAAGGGGAAGACTGAGATTTGAAGCTCTCCCTTTAAATTTTTGATGCATGAAATAATGTTCAAAGTACATGTGACATGTATTTTTTTAAAATTTGTACATGAAACAGGATCAGGATACCCCTTTGCTACCCTATGGAGTAAAGTTATCCCATTTCAGCAGAGTACCAGCTCAAATACTGTGATGCACTAATCGGTTGATGTATCAGCAGTACCACACCAATGGCACAGGATGGAACAGTGCCTGAATCCATGTCAACCTGGACATGGAGCAAGTGTAAAGGGTTTGAGGCATGAAGCACAGAGACTGTCAGACTGAGCACCTATACTTGTTCTTGCTGTGACCCTCTTCTTTGTCAACAGCAAGGATCAACAAAGGACATCCACTTTGAAGCTTCATATCAATTAGACAAACTATAATTGTTAATATAAATTATTTACCTATTGATAGTTGCCTCAGTGACATTTTGGTAACTTTGACTATCTTTAGAGGATCTACCCTACATCCATTTCCAGTGTTGACAGCTCCATTACTTGTTCTATCATGACGAAATCCTGAGGCTAAAGATTCTGATATTTGTAAAATGTACTCCAATATACTATATAAGTCACTGAGAAGACTTTTGATCCCTGTGAAATAAAGAAAAAAATAATTCTCAACAGTTCTGTGATGTAGAATTGTAGTAGACTGAGGATAGTACCATTTTGATTGTAAAGACAAGATGGGTATCCATTGTGCTTCCATGATTAACCCTTTCACTCCCACAAGTGACCAAGACAGAACTTCTCCTAACAATACCAATACAATATCAAGCAGGCAGGTGATGAGAATAGAGAAGAATAACAATCATGGGATTATTAGTTGATCCAATACCAAATTCTCTGAACTAACATCATAAGAATTGTATGGCAGATAGTTAGGAGAATTACTAATTAGATCTTGGGAGTGAAAGGTTTAATGCTTTATGTGGAAAAAAACCCTGCCAACTGTGAAAAGGGTTAAAGGTGCATGGACAAGGTTACATTAAGAAAAAAAGCAAGATGGAGAATATGGAAGGTCATGGGATCCATTAGCCAAGTTATGAGCTCAAGACTAAACTAAATGTATTTATTCAATAATGTCCAACCACCCATAAGCAGAGATGTCCTATAGACTTAAATATAATTAAAGTGAATTATTGATACACATCAGTTGGCCATTGCAAAGAGAGGTTCTCTTTTCACTGAATCTAACTTGAACCACAACTATTTTGAAATGTTTTCTCTGGAGGGTAGAAAACCAAAAAACCTACAGAAAGGGCCTTGGAGCAGGGAGCAGTCTATTTCTTCAGAAATTACATGTAACCCAAGCCATATGCTGCATTTGAATCAGGAATAAACATGGATCATTTTTTTATGAGGATTGAATCATGCTGTGGCCAGATCTATGAGAGGCATTCTCCTCTGAGAGTAGTTTTCAAAATGCTTTCACTTTTAAATTAACCACAATAAGAAAACTTGAAAGAGAATTGGTATCTTAGGCCACAGTCATGAATGATAAAGGATGTTGTCCTTCTGATGGAAGCCCTAAAAACAAATCTTTTTTTGTATCTCTTAATCAAATCTTAGCCATGGCATGTTGTTGAAATCTTCTCCCATTGACTCCCATTGAGCCTCTCTGTGTATAGAGAGACAATGTTTCAAAGCTGATGCTACGCTGTAAATTACTGAAGGCTGCCTGATTCACTTTTTAACAATTAACAAAGGAGAAGCTTGAAATGAAATAGATCTAACATAAAATGCTCTTAAACATCATCAATAGCTTACTATTTTTCACAGCTGTTGCTTCAAGATACTCAGTACAAAGCTTGCTTAGATGTCCAATATCCTTCCCATTCAACTGAGAAATTTTTTGAAGCTCTTTTGCAGTTTCATCTGAGATGTCAGCTGGCAAACAACTGGTGTACAAGTAATGTAACAGTGCCCTTAGCACATCTGATGGCTGATTTTCTAATAAAGGAGGAATTTTGTCCCATGTACAGACATCAGTAAAGAAACAAGAAAGGACTGTCTTGTGGGCTTGGAACTGAAAAACAATGCAAAAAATAAAGATTAAAAAAAAAGTGGACCAGGATGAAGAAAAAGGTGTCTTGGGAACCCAGTGACCCTTTGATACCATAGTTTGTCCCACTTTCTGCACCACAAATCATTGTAGGGTACTTCCAACCTTCCCAGACCAGATGCTACTTAATTGCTGGTAGTTCCTAGCACTAACTCAAACTTCCCTCACAGATTGTGGGTACCCATTCAAACTCTACCGTAAAAAGAGGCACAGAAAGGTGTGTCGCCTATCATTTACAAGAGGACATAATTTCATGACACCAGCCAGAGATCAAACAATAGTAAGACCTCTTGATCCACAGTCTAGCACGTTAAATGGCAAAAGGGCCAACCCAGCTTTAACTGAAAACACTTGATCTAACTTGAAGGTAAATTACATTCCAATACTGCTGTCACCCAGGATGTCAATCCATACATTTATTGTAAACAATGAACATTGCAATCATGAACTAATAATAAAAGAAATCTGATAATGCAGAAAAGTTTGAGATGATCAAAACATCTTCTGGGTCAAGAAATATAGGAGGCTCATGCACAAATGTTTTTGAAACATGGACAGCAGCTAAAAGGTTAAAGATCTCATTTCTAGTGCTCACTAACCTTTCCAGTCTGCACCTTTTATGTTTAAAATGCAAAAACCATGACCTAGCAGTCAATAATTTACACCAAAGTATGCTAGAATTACTCTTTTGTTTGCCATCTGCATCTCTAAAATGTCTTCGCTTAAATCCTTGAATATACCCACTGCATATGACTGTATTTGGAAATATTAAGTACTAGCTAATAATACTTAGTAACTGCCTCAGCTATAATATTACATGTATAGACTTAAATAAAATAGGCTAAATATATCTAATTAGACATTTTGGTGTGTAGTGTTGCTGAATATTTTAACAAGTTGTGCCATATTTTAAAGAGCGAATAGGGCATGTCAAAATACAAACAACTATTATAATTTGTTATCCAACTGCTTGATTTTATGCTTATTTCTCATAAGGCTGAAAAAGTGAAGCAGATAGAGAGGCGTAGTGTGTTTAGTGGACCATTACCAGTTAAAGAGGTCTTTTTCTTTATGGACAAAAATACAAAATATTCAGCTGGCCTTAAATGTGGCATGATATTTGTGCTTGATTCACAGACTCTACTATTAAATAAAAATTCACTATAAAAGCCAAAATTGACTTCATTATTCAAACTATTAGATTGTTAACGAGTCACCTTTTCACCATTGCTAGCAGTAAGGGTGATATCTGTGAAAACGCCCTCCTTCAATGCAGAAAGTAAGGAATATGGACCATGTGAAAGATTTGTAGAGTTCACTTGATCCACCTGGGTTGAAAACACATGTATTTAATTCCAAAATGAAAGGGTCTACCAAACAGATTCTGAGAAACTAATTAAAAAGATAAATGCAAAATTGGGAAATTGTAATAATGCATTTTACAAAGCTGGCATAGTTACTGAAAAAATATATAGGGCTTGGATCTCAGTATGGCAAAATAATTTGCCACAGTGATATAATTATTATAAACTTTGACAAATGTTAGAGTAGAGCAGAAAATGATGAGTCTAATAAACTATCATTTTCCTTAACAGAGTGACACCTTTAACCAATTTCTGAAAAGTTTTAAGTCATGATAAATAATGAGAAGTGTCATCCTAATGACAATTGTTTTTGGAATGTGGTGCTCATTCTGAATTCATTATTTTCCAGACCGGATTTTTTTTTTACATTTCTAGTGATTGTGATGTTGATAGGGAAACACTAAATGCAAAGCTGTTGAACATATTTTTACCTTTCGACAGCACAACTTTAAATGTCTGTCATAACACAAGACCAGCTGGTTTGATTCAAGAGAACACTATAGAGCAAAAAATTACAGAATTGCCTGTTGTAAGGAAATGAGAAACCGTAACACTGACTGCATGCACACAAAAAGGAACTTTATGTAGAAATCACAGAAACATGAAAAATGCAAGACTGGAGTGACAGAAGGAAAGAAATTAAAAGAAAGAAAAAAGAAGAAAGAATGGAAGGAATCGGAGGGCATCCAAGAAAGGAGAAAAGGGTAACATTCACAAGCCTGTTGCCAAATCCCTCAAAACAAAAAGCTGTTCACTTCCTGAAGAGAGCAAAAAGGGTTTTTCCCTTACAAAATCCATTTGTTTTCAAGTAGAAAGGTAATAAGAAGAAAGAATTAGTAATACATGAATTAAGGGATACTGATGAATTCAAATCCAAATTCTCAGTACTAAAATGATACATAATGTATGGCAATGTAAGGAGTATTTGGATCAATATCAGTATCCGGGCAACTGCCCACCTACCCCTCCCCTAACCCAACATTAACCCTAATTTGTTATCTATTGACTGTTGTTGAGTTAGGGGAGGGGTAGGTGGGCAGTTGCCCAGATACTGATATTGATCCGAGTATTTCATGATGACAATTGACTTTAGAGTGGCCAATAAAGTAAAAAAAAAAAAGTGCATACAAGGCTCACAAGGAGTAAATTAGTAACAGCAATGTTATTACCTGTTACCAAGTTGTCATTTGACACCACCTTACATGATCTTAACATGGTTGATATGTTTAAGTTGTATTTTTTTAAGAAAAGAAAATAAAAATCACCAAAGACTAGTCATCCAATTTGCATCTTTCAATACAAATTTAGTAGTCAAAACTTTTTTCTACTTGTTACGAGCAACCAAAACAGGTTACTTATTCAGCAATACACTACTTTTGACTTACTCTTAAAGCAATTTTGTCAACATTGCTGCCATAACAAACCAACTCTCCTGAAAAGCCATCGACCTGCACAAGAAAAAGAAGACTCTTTGCCCCACACATATAATTTATTAACAATTTGTGATTTGAAGAAATCTAATTCTGCCACTAAAAACAGTTGTGAAATAGAGCTTTAAGTTATAAACATTCTTAACAGAACAGTATTCAAGAGCAAACAATTATTTCAACAAATACACCTGTAACACTACTAGATCAAGAATTGCATGATGAATATAATTTAGAGGCGAGTTGTTTTACCAAAGATAATCTCCAGATCCAGAGGAGAGACACTTTGGTATTAAATTTCTAGCATTCAAACAAAAAGCTTGCAAACACTAACTTGTCTAAAGTTCTCTTACCACAAATGTTTCACAAGAAAAGAAAGGAAGTGTATCTTGTTCTGATGTTGGAGGCACACTCCAGATCAGATCACCACCTTCCTCTAAACTGAATTGTACCCTGAAAAAGGAAACAGATTATCAATTCTATACAAAGAAATCATAAATATAATAGTAATTTATGTAAAAATTAAGTCCATTTTTATTAAAAACTCACAGAAATATGCAGGAGGACAGAGGAACAAGACACAGTTTGAGAGAGTGGGGAATAAATAACTAATTATAAATGGTAGAATACCTGATTAGATGATTATAAATGACTGAAAACAAATCAAAGAAGAAATTTCTTTGCATACAAGGTGATAGCAGGTGATGGGAAATTCATTGGTCTAATAGTAAGTGCAATGAACTCCAGGCCAGGTCTCGAACTCAGACCTCTTGCCCTGGTCAATGCATTGTGGTCTTGGGCAAAATTTATCATTTACTCACAAGTAGTGCCTCTCAAGCCAAGAGTATAAATGCATACCAACAATTTAACAAGAAAGCCTGGTGAAATACTAGGGGGAGAGGGGGGTAACCTTGCAATGGCCTGGCTACCCATCCAGGGAAAAGCAGTGCTACTCCTTGGCCCTTCATGCTTGGGAAACCAGAATAAGCTCCAACTGGGTAGGCCACTTGGCTTGAGTACAGACTTAACTTATCAAAAAAGTTTGAGTGAAGTAAGGTACCCTTTCTGCTGTTTCAGTAATAATATTTTAAATATTTTAACTCTGCAATTGTTTTTCAATAAGCTTTGCTCCCCTTAATGTGTATTCTTAAATTAAGTTTCTTGGCAATTTCCCAGGATGTGTCCTTATTCATTTGATAGAGCTCCATCCAAAAAAAAGTTACAAAACAGGTGGAAATTATTATTATTAGTGGTAGAACTTAATCATATAATTATTAACTTATGCTGTTGCCTCTAAAGATACGCAGTCTCTATATCTCAAAATAAAGCAATGAATAATTACATCAAAGTAACGCTACAGAGCTGCGTGTTTGACTACATCACTAAAAAGTAATTTTAAGGGCTTGTTGAAGTGTCGCATAAACGTTCGAGACTAAATAGAACGCAACAAAATTAAATTTTCACCACAAAATATTTGCGCTCACAGACAGAAAATAGGATGAGCTATTCAAATCATTAAAAAATATACAGTTTACAGAGATGAAAAAGAAGTTACCCTTCGACGTCTGGGTATCTCTCTTCTTGTAGTTTGCAAGACACTATCTGAAAACATTCATTGTCAAGAGAAATGTCAGCAAAACTGAAACCATTATTGATTTTTGTGGCAAATAATTTTCTGGGATTTGACGTTACCTCCCAACAGCCGAGCAGATCTTCCTCAGAAGGTTTTCTATCACAAACCTCATCCATTTAACTGGAATAAGCAATAATTACTCCATTATATAGATAATCTATGCGGTATGTTGTTAGGAACTTCTATGTTTTCATTTAAATTCCTATTCTTCGACGCGACTAAACTGGTTCGGAATACAACAACTTCGTTTTAGATCGGCTCGGATCGGCACTGCTCGGTGAAGGTCGGTCATTGGTACGTTGCCATGCCCCAATGCGTCTTGGGTAAAGCTCTAGCAAATAACATTAGTAGGGAAAAAGGAGGAACTTGAGAGCTAACTATTGTCTTGGTTAAGAAGTCTGTTTTGAACCAGTTGTAAAATGTCTCTGTCCTTTTCTTTGGAGGAGAATTATTCTCTTTTGCCACTCAATGATTCATTTGTACCAAATGAGTTAGGTTCACCTTCACGTCATGGACGTGTGAAAGGTTACGACGAAGAGTTTGATCCGCCATTGGAAAGCAAGTACAAATGTACTATTTGTCATCTTGGTCTTCGAAATCCTGTGCAGACGTTCTGCGGCCACAGATTCTGTAGAGAATGCATTTTACACTCAATGAGGTACTATGTGAAATATAGTTGAAGTTGAGATGTTGTATTAGAATGATTTTAAAATTACAAATAGTCGAATAATACAAGAAAGTAGAAATAACTAATCTTATATACATATTAAATACTTTGAAATCCCTTCATGTCATTTGTTTGCTTCGAATCTTAAACGATCAGTTCGCATATTGGATCGATTTTTCAGCAGTTTGTTCGGCAGTCTGAAATTTGATTCTGTGCCGATTTTGATCGATCGATTGCCTAGAGTTTACAGACCACCCTGGGTACCTGGTAGTGAAATGGCGGATGCGTAAATTCAGTGTGCACTGAAAGAGTACTTTGGAAAATTTTAGGTTTCTTCGCGTATGAGCGATTGTTTGTCATTACTTAAATAGAAACTATATAAGGCTATGACAGTCACAAATGAAAGACAAATGCATTAAGTTATGGTTACGTATATATAACTGAATTATTTGCTCTTATTTTAATCCATGCATTCCGAACTTGATATTTCTCTTTTCCCTCATTAACTATGACACTAAGAAATTGAAGCTAATAAACTAATTGTGTTAGTACAGTGCACCTATGCTCAAGGTTATTCAAAGTTCCTAGATTGGCAAAAGGAAATCAGAACATGGTTGCCAGAAATATAATTTTAATCGAAGTAATAGCAAGCAATTGTCGTTGAATTTTAACATGGCCTCTCAAGTAATTTCATGTGAATAAAGTCTCTATTAGTATGAATCTAGACATCGATAACTGAGAGGTCTGTACTGGGTACAGGCAGGTTATGTGTTAGTCCTTTTCTTCGGATTGAGCAATTTGCTTGGCATAAGAGTCATGGCTTTCGGTAGAAACAAAGGCTATGTTTATATATATGTATGCTATGCTATATATATGTTTTAATTGCGGAATTACTTTAATATATTACTGCTTAGGTATCTGTGCGTGTGTTATTAGTAATCAAGCCAACAAGCAGGCCACAAGTTATTTCTAGCTTCTAAGAAAGTTTTAGTTTTCCTCTCACCCACACCATTGACAGTTTTGATTGTTTCTTTATTTCATTGGTGTTTGTAATTTATTCCTGGTTACTGGATCATTGTTATAGTATGTTCATTAAATATCTTTTATGTAGTAGTCAAGTGTGCTATTTAGGTAGGATATATATATATATACACATTAAATAAACTGTCAAGTCCCAAAACTAGCCTCTGTGTGTTGTGGTGTTTAGGCTGATGTTATCTCCCTTTAATTCGAGGTAATAAAATTGAAAATGTTACAGCTTGCTTATTGTATACTTGACCACTGAAGACAGGTTGCCTCTTTGGTGACTCTTACTGAAAAAGTTTTTTCTACATGCCATAGTGACCAAAATGGTTGCAGCTTAGTTATTTATTCACTTATTTTGTGCAATTATCAATATAAGATTTTCAACTGCCTATTATAATATTAAAGTTTAAACTATACCAAAATATTAATAATACTGATGGGTCATGTAGCATGCTAGGCACTTCACTCAAAACCTGTCACTAAGCAGCTAGATAGTGAGAAATGCAGCCCATAAGACTGTAACATTTGTTTTATTCACTCATATCTTTCATTACTTGTTTTAGGGATAGCCATGGTGACTCACTTTGCCCTTTGGATAGAACACCTTTGTCAGAATCACAAGTAAAGCACTTTTCTCTTAATTCTTAAACTTTAAGTGACAAGCTTCCAATTTCTCCTTACAATGTCGTCTCAGAATCACATATTAAGGTCACAAGAATAAAGGAAATGATTACTAACTAAAGATGCTCTTGATTGTTGAACAGATTCTCTTTACCTGCACCACAGTTATAAAATATATGGAGAGCAATATGGATAATTACATATACTGATGTTGGTGTAATGGGTTGAACATTTAACTCTGAAGATCTAAATAATTATTCTCCACACTGGTTATAATTCATCACTTACACTTTTTGAAGTAAAATTTGGTGGTTAATCAAGCAATATGTAGTTGATCAATTTTCCACTTTTTGTCACCTTTTCTACTTGAAAATGTTTATGTGTTCCTAGGAGTGAGAAGGTCAAGTTGAATATGAAAAGCATTGAAATGTAGACAGTATATTTTGCATTTTTAGTCAAATTTCTTGTCTGGTACATGATGATGAGATAAACATTAATTAATATGAAACATCATGTGGTAATTATGACTTAATTAGCCTAAATTGGTAAATTGTAACAAAACTTTTAAGTCAATTTTGTTTTCATCTTTATTCCTTAGTTTTACCCAGACAAATTTGTGGAGCGCGAAATTTTGGAATTTGAAGTATTATGTCAAGCCAAGAAACAATCTGGGTGTCTATGGAAAGGTCCCCTTTCAACATTAGAGGTATGAACAGAGTGTGCTTGTGCACTCAAATTTTATGGTAATTTGTTATTATTAGCTGAGTTGATAATGTAAAAAAGCCACTGTTAAGAGTTTCCAAGCTGATGTCTTGAAGGTGAGCCTTTTGTCAGAGCAAATGAGGAAGGGCTGACAGCAAAATACCAGCTTTTAAACTCTTGAAGTTGGCCGGTTTATGTCATTAACTCAGTTGTTAATATTAAATTACCTTGTTATACTCTCCCACCAATGCAGCACCCACCAAAGCTTATCCCTTTACTCAATGATATTTTTAGCTCTGCTTGGGTGGCAGAAGATGTAAGTTGTTTCCAGTTAAATTCAGAAAAATGTTATAAACACTTTGAAGTGAATGTGACAGGGCATTTATGTACTGACCAATCACAAAAAATTGTAAGACATACATGCAAACCTCAAAGCCACAGACTAATTACCTCTGATGTTTGTTAAAGGCTTATTCATTGAGATGCAGAAACAATATTTTCTAATGAATTCTGATATTTATGGTTTTCCTAGTTTCACAGACTGAAAGTAATTGACTGAAGACACTCTAAGAATCAAACAGTAATACACAATTTTACAACTCATATGTTAGAAACCATGGGCAATAGTTTTATTGTTATGTTGCACTAAGAGACTGGAAATAGGTGAATATAAGAAACTGGAAATTCATGAGAAGGATCTTTATTCTATTAGAGAAAAACGTTGTCTTATATGCTCAGCTTGTGTTTAACTGCAGATGTGATAACAGAGAAATGTTCTTCTAGATCATTGAAAATTTAATTTATAAGGAAATATGTGTTGGCATGTTTTCAACATCATGTATATCTCTGAATGATCTCATGCAATGAGTAGCATCACGAGGTACATGTATGTTGAATTATCAGGTAAAGCACCTGTCCAGTTTGATATTGTCTAGATTTAGATTAGTGACCATGAAAGACTGCAGGTTGACTGGACTTACATAGATACCAAACCTCACTAAAAAACACATTCACAGCCGAAAAACAAACAAACAAAAAATTAAAAGATTGATTTAACAGCATATGCCTTAGGCTTTTCTCTTTTGTAGCTAGTTTATAAATGTTATTATGTTTAATATCTGAGTATGAGTATAATGAAGAAAGGATAACAAAAGGTATTAAAACAGATCAACCTCTCCTGGCTTCCTGAAGTACTGTATAAGAGGAAAATGCCCTTGATTTGAAAGTTTTTAATTCTCAAAAGTTTTCACTTCAGCCCTTGAAACTCAAGGGATTTATTCTCTGATATATTAGTGGCTACATAGGATTAATGTACTTCTCTCAATTTTCTGCTTGACAGGATCACTTAAGTGGATGCCAATTTGTTGTTGTGAACTGTAAACACAACTGTGGCAAACAGCTACAAAGGAGAGACATCCACCAACACATGGAAGCTGAGTGCTTGTACAGGAAAACTCCATGCGAACATTGTGAGGATCCAGTTTTATGGAACGAAGTTGAGGCAAGCCTCTAAGTTATAAAAGTGACCCAAAGAAAAAATTAACTTTTCTTGTCAAGTACTTTAATTATAATAATGAACTTCACTATGTGAAATTGAAATTTGTGGCAACAGAATGAACGACTCCACATTGTGTAGAAACAAAAAAACA